TCGGGTCCCACGGATACATAAGCACCCACGTATGAGCCTGGTCGTAAGCAATGAGCGTGCCGCGAACATCTGGGGCAAACAAAAAATAGAGCACACCAGGCCGACCTTGAGTGAAGGGCCGCAGATCTACCGTAAAATGAAGCATGAGGAAGTCCTGCAGGGCTTCCGGACCTTGCATGCGGATGCCTAAAGCATCGCGCGTGGATGACCCCGCGCCATCGGTTGCTATCGCATACGCTAAAGATTTTGTATCGCGAGCGCCCGTTTGCACATTTCTTAATTCTGCCACCACCCGCTCACCCTCATTGACCAGTTGAACGCACTCAACACCACGGCTGAACTGTATGTTCGCATCGCCAGCGATGACGTTGCTTAGCGCTTCCTCAAAACGCGGCTGAGGAATATTGCTTAAGGGGTATGGCGTATAGCGCAAGGCACCTGCATCCTGTCGCTCATAAGGTAAGGATCCAAACTCCGGCCCGGACAGGGTGCCAACAAAACGTACGTCTCCTGCATCATTGGCATCCGCCCCCAACAACCTCAAGCGTTCAGCGCTGACACCAATGGAGTCGCAGATCTCCAGCGTGCGGGGATTTACCGCGTGTGCTTTCGGCGCAGTGAGGAGCGCCAACCGCTTATCCACCAGAAGCGACGGAATACCGTGATATGACAGCAGCAACGCGGCGAGTTGGCCGACCGGCCCAGCGCCAACAATAAGTACAGGCGGCTGTTCAAATATTTTCACATCAATTCCTTTTTGAGATCTTTCTCATTTATGAGATTAATCTCATTTATCTTGCCTGCTGTCAAGCTATCCGATATCTTGTCTGCAATCTGCAGAGATGAGAAAAAGATTGTCTGCCACCAGCCACAGCCTCTTCCAGAACCAAACCGCTACACGGGGTAAGCGAGAACGCACCCGTGCAGCACTTCTGGACAGCGCAATCAGCGTTTTCGCTGACAAGGGTTTTGAGGCGACCCGCATCAATGACATCACCGACCATGCCAGCCTTGCAAACGGCACGTTCTACAATTACTACCGCGATAAGCAGGAAGTGCTCAGCGATGTAGCAAGCGGACTTGCCGTCGAGATCGTGCGGCAAATCAACGATGAGATGGAAGGCATCGACAATGCAATGGTCCGATTTATCACGGCCACAGTACGCGTTCTTGAAACTGCCAGGCGGGAACCTGAATGGATTGACGTACTGCTCGGCAGCATCGATGTTATCCCGGAACTGCAGTCCGCTGTTGTCATGTACCTGCGCCAGGACCTCGAACAGGGCGCTGAACAAGGTCACTTCGATATTGAAGTCGATCTCATTCTGGTGAATCAGATACTTGCACTGGTGCGAACGGCAGTGCTGCTGGACAAAAGCGTTGAGAGGCAAACCATTCGCAGAACGTGCGAGTCAGAACTTCGACTATTGGGGTTATCTCCACGCCAGGCCGCTCGAGAGGTCAAGAAGGTACTTGATCGCCGCGATCCACAAAACACATAGGAGCAGATATGAAACTTAATTGGTCACACGCCGTCCTAAACGCCCGCAATCTGGAACAGATGCTCAACTTTTATACCTCGGTGATGGGTTTTACTGTTACAGATCGCGGACCCATGGGGCCACCCAACGCGCCAGATATTGTGTTCTTGAGCAACAGCCATGACGAACACCACCAGATTGCGATGGTGCAGTTACGCGATGAATCGTCCTCTACATCGCTGAATCATCTGGCTTTTCGGGTTGAGAGCTTTGCTGAAGTCAAAGAAATGAGTCAACGACTGCAGGCCAATAAAACGGACATCCTGCCGCTTTCACATGGCAACACTCTTTCGCTGTATTTCAGTGACCCTGAACAGAACGGGATAGAAGTGTTCTGGGATACACCCTGGCACGTGGACCAGCCGCAGGGTGCGGTCTGGGACACTGGCTTAGACGAGGCAGCTGCGCTCAAATTTGTTGAAGATACCTTTAAAGAAGAGCCGTCTTTTGTACGCCGCGAGGATTGTCAGAAAACCTTTGTTAATCGACCGGCATAATGCGCCGCGCTCAATGCCAATCTTGTAACCAAGTAGGTGGTCATCATTGAGGACTTCAGGATCGGTATTGGAAGGGCTTATCTCATTCCTCACCGGCACCGGCTAGTTCAATGTCCTGCTCCAGTAGTCGCGCCCCGCGCATGATATTACCCAGCGCATAGTTGCCTTCATGACAGGCGTATTCATAGACGCGTTGGTCACTGGCGCGCCACACATATTCACCAGTCCACGGCCCTTGCCAAACGGTCGGATCTGAAACGGTAAACCGATATAGGATGTTCCCATCTGCTTGTAGCGTCAGATGCTCTACCAGATGCATGTTAGAACCACCGGTGAAAAAGCCGGCACCCTGATCATTGAAGTTTGTGGTGTCCACAACCAGAGTATCACCTTCCCAACGGCCAATTGAATCACCCAGCCAGTTTGTGACATGGGCAGGTGGGTGGGTACCATTAAGGCGAACTATCCGGGCATCGTGAATCATTTCCAGCTGAATCATCACGTAGTCATCAGTCTGCACGATACGCTTAAAGTTGTTGTACAGACTTGGGATCGATGGTGCGGCGCCACTGAAACCCATTAAACATCGTTCTGCAGTGTTCCGCTGTTCCATATTGTCGTAAGGCCCGGGCCCTTCCTGATCCAGCCACCAGGCGACACCTTCATTTTCGCGCGTCACGTCACCGTACAGAGTAGCCATCTGCATCTGGCCTTTCGGAGTTAATGACGGAAACTGACCATTTGGTGGGTCGACAATTACAGAGGTACGGAACTTGCCGTCTACCAACAATGCGTCTGTGCCGCGATCGATCCAGAAGGCATTGTATCCACCAACATTGCCCGCTGCACCGCCAGAGCCATCTCCTCCCGCCGGTGGCGCTGTGCGATTCGGATCACTTTCCGAATTTGCTGCAGCCAGCGCGGCCGCTGCTCTTTTGGACAGCTTCTCGGCATCTTCCGGAGCCAGATAGAGATTGTCGCCGAATTCGGGAGGGCGCGTCAGCGGCGTCAGGGTTGCGCCATCATAGGTACCTGAGAGATCCGGTACGCCGCTGGCTGTGCGTGCTATATCGTCAGCGAATATCGGCGTACTGTATATACCGATAAGAAAGAGACCGAGCAGAAATTTGTATTGCTTTGCGTGCAAGCCCATGATCATCCCCCCTGTTTGTAGAACAAGATGTTAGCCCAGATAAGATGGCAACTTCCAGCGACATAAACGATCGCTCCGTAATCGAACACTCTTTCCGGTAGACTCGCAGAAACTGGGTACGAGCAGTTAAGTGCGCGCAGTCGTCCCACATTTCAAAGGGATAATGGATAGATGAAACAAATCAGGAATGAAGCAGCCTTGTTCAAAGCAGCTGTGGCGGCAGGGACCAAATACGGCGAAGAGCGAGGTGTGATGGCATATGCGTCAATTGCCTGAAGACCACCCACTATTTAAATAGCAAGTAAAAGTCGAGGCAATCAGGATCTCACAGGAACTTCAAATCACATCCAGACCCTTAGCGCACTCGACCTTCAGAGTTCTAACCATAAGCTAACAATAAAACGATCAGCAATGTAAATATAACCACCATAACCGTAGTATCTAACAGATCTAATGTGTGATCTTCTTTCAGCAGTTCTATCAGAACAAACAACATTGGAAACAAAAACAACAGCAACAGAATGTTGGTAAACGAGAACCGTAAAGGTAGTTCCGGGTGGCTTGGGTTTATCCACGCCTGGTAACAACCAATGGCCATCAGCGTGAAGGGCAGCACAAGAAACATTACCTGAGTGATACCGCCAAAACTGTTCGCCAGAGCTATACCGTACTCACCTTTGCGGTGGGACTGCCATAAAATCACGTATTCACTCATGCCCGCAAAACCAGCTAGAACAAGCGCAGCAACCAGCGGGCTCAACTGCATTTCCTGAATGGCGATATTGGCAAATTGTGCAACTTGTTCGCCGCCCAGGGCTGCACCCACTATGCCGATCAACAGGTAACCGCTTATAAGCAGCCATGAACTGTCTTGCACATGGGTATAAATCAGAGCGCGTCGTTCATCAACCTGGTCTTCGGTAAATGCCAGGACATCGCTAACCTGATCTTCTTCTTTCGAGTAGTCCTGCAGGAGTTTGATGATGTAAACGCCAAAGACCGTCAGCATCAGCATGCCCAACAGAAGCAAATCACCAGGCGTAAAAGATTGTTTCGGATGTGCACTAAAAGACATGAGCATCATGACAAGGCCCAGAATCAAGCCAAATGCCGCCCCGGCAATTAATATCTGCGTGCCCGCGCCGGTGATGGGTCGCGGCATCAGATATTTACCGTATTGGTCCTTAGGCAGGAAATAGGAATAGATGCTGAACACCAACGAATTGTTGTAGATGGTGATCAGGGCGATCACAAAGGCTGTTAAAGGGCTGACGGAAATGAGAAATCCGATGACTACCAATTCGGGCAGGGTCGAGAGTATTTCAGATGTGGTGCCAGCTATGTAATGGTCCCATTCCAGACGTGCAGCCAGGCGCTCGCTTGCAATAATCAGTGCACTGCAGGCCACCTGAAGAATGATTAATCCAACAATAAGTGCAAGCGACGCCTGCGCCCAATCGGGAATTTCAAAACCAGATAATCTGAGAAGACTGACCAAACCCCAAAGGATAAACCCGAAGATCAGACGACCCGTCCATGGCTCAGCCAAAGTTCGCCGCGTCCTGGCAGGCTCGCCTAGATAAGAAATCGATAATCGATCAGGGTCGATGCCTACGTCACGCAGTTTTTCTTCGGTACTCTCGGGCGCGTTGGGTAAACCTACCCCTGCGACACCGGTCGAATTCGCTAGGTCTGGCTCTGGTGTTGTCATCGAGTTCCGCAATGTGCATTGCCACAACAGACTGTAACTCAAAAGGTCTTCGGAAGTTACTTACTGACTCTGTCTGCCAAAAGCCTAAACTCCCGCAGATGCCAGACGAATACCCAGATCATTCCAAAGAACCTCAAGCACTCCCGGGTTCAGTTAGACTCGCCCGCGTGTTGGGCATCGATATTCGGCTGCACATAACGGTAGTGGTGATCTTCGCGTTGATCGTCACCAGCCTGGCTGCGAACATTTTTCCCCAATGGCATCCTGAGTGGAGTACCACACAAAACTGGACTGCAGGCTTCACCGCCGCAATTTTATTCTTCGTGTCGTTACTCATCCATGAAATGGCCCATTCCGTAGTGGCGCGCCGCTGCGGCATCAAAATCACAGCGATCACGCTGTTTATCTTTGGTGGGGTGGCGGAAATGAAAGGCGAACCCAACTCACCTAAAGACGAATTTTTGATAGCCGGTGCCGGACCACTGGCCAGTTTTTTCCTGGCCTTTGCATTTGGCATCCTCTTCAGTTTATTTGTAGCGGATCCTCAGGCACTGCTTAGTGAGAATGACAGCATGGACCTAGCCAACGTATCTGCTACGGCGACTGTCTTCATGTGGCTGTCCTCAATCAATTTCATGCTGGCAGTGTTCAACCTGCTGCCAGGTTTTCCCATGGATGGCGGCCGCCTGTTTCGCGCCGCGCTCTGGTGGCGTACCGGCGATCTTATGCAGGCCACTCAACTGGCAGCGCGGGTGGGAAGTGGTTTTGGCTGGGTGTTCATAGGTCTGGGTGCTATGCAGGTGTTCAGCGGGAATACCATCAATGGTTTCTGGCTGGTACTTATCGGCTGGTTCATTCGCAGATTAGCCCTGTCCAGTGTCGCCAGCCTCATCCTCGACCAGGCTCTGCGCGGTTTTGACGTCCGCGCTATTATGCGTACCCGTTTCGATAAGGTGCCTGCTGAGACGCCTGTACGCGGCTTCATCGAAGACTATTTTCTGCGCAGCAATCAGCAGGTATGGCCGGTTTCCCGAAACGAGGTCGACGAGGGTTACGTGATGGCGCAGAGTTTCAACCTGGAAAATACAGCGTTGGAAGATGCCACTGGCACCGTCGATCAACACATGCAGCCGCTTGATCAGGCGCACTCTATCAATCCGGATATCAGCGCCAAAGACGCTTTCGAACGACTCGCCAGGCACCCTTACCCGCTGCCTGTGGTCGAAAACGGACGTGTCATAGGTATCATCCACCATGCTGATATATTGCGTTGGTTCTCTTTTCACAAAATCGCAAGTTAACTCCGCATACCCACCTGCTAATTACCAGACAAGACACAAGGTCTTCGTCCAGATCGATAAAATCTAAACCTCAACGCCCGGTTGAATTCGATACAAGTTTGTTATGCTGCTGCTGTCTCCATTCTGCAACGCTACAGTAAGAGAATCTTATGCGAACCATCCTGACCGTCTTTATCGTCATGGCCTGCCATCTGGCGTTTGCCGCCGGTGCGCCAGTCCCGACCCTCATTGTCACCACGGACGCAGGCCGCGTACAGGGACTGCTTGATCACGGGGTTTCCGCATTTAAAGGTATTCCCTATGCCAAGCCTCCCATTGGAACGCTGCGCTTCATGGCACCCCAGCCCGTCGAGGCCTGGGGTTCAGTTCTGGATGCCACAGATTACGGCGCATCTGCAATGCAGATGTATGACCGAGGCGGTGACACAATTCTTTCCCGGCAGATTGCCACCGTGTTTACAACAGAAAGCGAGAAGAAGTCAGACAATGAAGACAGTCTTTTCCTGAATGTCTGGACGCCGGCGCCGGATGACCGCAAACGACCTGTGATGGTGTGGTTCCATGGCGGTGGCTGGGCTTATGGCTCTGGTTCATGGCCCGTTTATGACGGCACCAATCTTGCGAACAAGGGTGATGTCGTTGTTGTCACCGTGAACCATCGCCTGAATGTCTTTGGTTATCTGAATCTTGCTGACATCGGCGGCGAGAAGTACCAGCATTCCGGCAATGCAGGCCTGCTCGACATGGTGCTGGCGCTCGAATGGGTACGCGACAATATCAGCACGTTCGGCGGCGACGCTGACAACGTGACCATCATGGGCGAATCCGGTGGCGGCTCGAAAGTCTCGCACCTGATGGCGACGCCTGCCGCAGACGGCCTGTTTCACAAGGCGATAATCCAGAGTGGCCCAGCGCTGACGGCCATCTCGAGCGAAGCTGCAACAGCTAACGCAGAAGCTATTCTTGCGGAGCTGGGTATCCAACGCGACAACCTTGATCGTCTCCAGTGGATGACTGCGAACAGCATTATGCAAGCAACCGCGGCAGCCGCCGCAAAGAAGAACGGTCGACTGCGTCTTGCGCCTGTGGTCGACGGCAATGTCCTGCCGCGCGATCCCTTCACACCGGATGCACCGGAACAATCACGGGATATCCCGGTGCTGATCGGCTGGAATAAAGATGAAATGACTATCTTCAATGCAGGCGCACCCTGGTTCGGTCGCATGACGGAAGATCAGATGAAACAGCAGCTTGGCGGTATGTACGGCGAGAGGTCTGCTGAGATTGTCGCGGCTTATCAGCAGGCCTATCCGGACTACACGCCCACTTACCTATTCAATATGATCACAGGCGACAGCCGCATGGCGCTTGGCTCGGTGACGCTGGCCGATCGCAAAGCGAAGCAGAAGGCGCCGGTGTTTATGTACTACCTTGTTTGGGAAACCCCGGTTGGAGATGGCGTCTTCAAATCGCCGCATACCCTTGATATGCCTTTTATGTTCAATAACGTCGACAAGTCCGTCGCGATCGCGGGCGAGAGCACTGAGGCGCGCATACTGGAGAACCAGATGTCGTCAAGCTGGATCGCATTTGCGCGAACGGGAGACCCCTCGAATCCAACGGTTGGCAGCTGGGCACCTTATTCCGCGAAGCAACGCGCAACCATGGTGTTTGATGTTAACCCACGAATCGAGAACGATCCCAAAGGCGAGTTGTTAGAGCTGCTGGTGCAATAGCGCTTCCGCTGACACGAAAGGTCATATGAGAGCGTTATGCTGGTCCTCCAACAGATAATTGAAAATCTTCTGCTTCTGAGCTTTATGGGGATTGTGTTCTTTTTTGTACAAAGGCACCGCAGTTCTCTTGGCGCACTTAAAACTGATTTACTTCACGGACTCAGCCTTGGGCTGACGGCTGCATTGGTGACCACGGTGCCGGTGACACTTGGGGATGGCGCCACGATAGACGCGCGTGCAGGCCCGGTTATTTTAGCCGGGGTGATTGCCGGACCTATCGGAGGGCTGTTAGCCGCTTCGATGGGTGGCATGGCACGTGGCCTTATCGGCGGCAGTTTTGCAGTTTCAGGTATCGCCGTTTACGGGGTTTATGCGCTGACTGGAGTGGCGATCAGGTACTTTCGCTTCGTCGACACCGGATCCTTTCTCAAGCCCCGTTCGATCGCTATTGTTGTGCTCGCATCCCTTGCTGGCGCCAGCGCGATGTTTTTCCTGATCAGTCCGACATCCCGCGCGATCCTATGGTTGCAGAACGATCTGCCGTTGATTCTCCTCGCAAACACACTGTCGGTCACCTACGCAGCAATCATGCTCGGTTTTGCAACTGTTTTTCTGCAGAAATCTGCGGAAATCATCGAGCTGAATGAGACGCTGAACCTTGCCAAGCGAGCGGGTCGTTTTGGCATTTGGGACTTTGATATTAACTCGGGAAAGTTGGTGTGGGACGAGCGCTCCAAGGCGCTTCATGGTGTGACAGACGCTGCCTTCGAAGGCGTTTTCGAAGACTGGTCGCGCAATGTGCACCCGGACGACCTGCCGAAGACAGAAGAAGCTTTTGCGCAGGCACTTGCGAATAACAAGATCTTCGACACTGAGTACCGGGTACTGCTGCCCGACGGAACTCAAAAGTCGATCAAAGGAGATGCCCTGGTTCTGAGGGACACTGCGGGCAACGCAACCCGCGTTGTCGGAACAAATCTCGACCTTACAGATATTCGCACAGCCGAAGCGAAACTTGCCGAAGCCCGCTCGGTCGCGATTCAGGCGCAGAAATTTGAAACGATCGGCCAGCTTACTGGTGGCGTGGCCCACGACTTCAACAACCTACTTGCTGTGATCATGGGCAACCTGGAGATGTTGAAACACGAACTCCAGACCGAGGCATTTGATCGCGAAGAGACCAGCAAGCTGATCGAGGTCAGTATCGATGCGACTGTCAGAGGAGCCGAGTTGACGCAAAACATGCTGGCGTACGCGCGCAAGGCACAATTGATGCCCGTCCTCGTCGACCTGAACCAGGTGGTTCGAGAAACGGAAAAATGGGTCAGGCGAACCATCGAAAGTAGAATTGAAATCGAAACCGTGCTGCAGGCGGGCCTGTGGCCGATACTTGCAGACAAGAGCTCCCTGCAAAGTGCCATGGTCAACTTGTTGGTAAACGCCCGTGATGCTTGTGCTGGACCAGGTCGAGTGACCGTCGAGACAAGCAACATACGCGTGGACGAGAAACACGTCGACGCAAGCTATGAAGACATTTTACCAGGCAGCTACGTCATGCTGGCAGTGACAGATAACGGTGTTGGTATGGATAAGGAGACCGTTGACAGAATATTCGATCCTTTTTTCACGACTAAATCCGTAGGTAAAGGAACTGGGCTGGGATTATCCATGGTGCAGGGATTTGTAAAACAGTCTCAGGGATCGATCAGGGTTGACTCGCAGCCAGGCGCAGGAACGAGTTTCAAGCTCTATTTCCCAGCGGCTTCGGATGCTTCGATTGAGGTGCATCCCACCACCTCGAATGAGTCCACAGCAGTGATCAAAGAAAATTTCAGCGGCCGCATTCTTCTGGTTGAGGACGAACAGGACGTCAGGAATGCCCTGCAGAAAATTCTAACGGCCGCAGGTTATGACGTAACAACCGCAGCAAGCGGAGACGAAGCCTTAAGACTGTTCATGCGCAACGATCAATTCGACCTGATCGCCACCGATATCACCATGCCTGGACACCTTCAAGGACCATCGTTGGCAAGAAAGATCCGCAAAATGCGCCCCGAAAAGCAATTCATATTCCTGTCTGGGTACGCCAGCGAGGCGACCGGGCAGCACGGTGATCTGACGACCGACGACATTCGACTTATGAAGCCAATTTCACAATCCGAGCTGCTGCATGCCATCGCCAAACGTCTTACCACACAGCCATAAGCCAGGTGTGGCGCATTCAGCTGGGCATTGATTTATTCAACAACTCGCCATCAACATAAACCCACCCAAGCTGCGTGCGGCGGAACCTGCTTCTTTCATGCAGACGATGCCCACGGCCATCAATCTTGAAGCGTGCGACAAACTCAACTAAGCCCTGCTCATCACCCTTGGAACCCGCCTCCACATGACGGATTTTCAAACCCAACCAACGCTGGCGTTCATCAAGATGCAGCTGCGCTGGGCGTGTCGCTGCATCCCACGTTGCTAACAGATATTTTTCGTTGCAATTGACATAGGCGCTGTAGCGCGATCGCATGAGGGCTTCCGCGGTAGATGCCTGCTTTTCACCATGCAGCAACGGCCAGCAGCAGACATCGGCCAGCTCTCCACTGTCACACCAACATTTTTCCTTGGCTGTTTGCATTGCGACACCATCAAATCTGATTGTATAAAGCTTAACAGGCGCTCGAGGCTGTAGGCTGTCGGGGTAGACCGATCGTGAACAGTGGTGTGAGCGGATGCTTATTCTTTGTCTTCGACCTCGTAATACACTGAAATCATCCAGTCCTGATAGCTTTCGTCCAGAGTCTTGAACTGCGCGGTCAGCTCCTTCACAAAAGTCGTTTCAATGGGCTGCCCTCTATTTGGCCACAGGCGAAATTTCACCCGTAAAAATTCTTTCTTGGCGTCCAATTCAAAACGTCCGATCACGGAAGGATTGGAAATTAATATGCCAGGATATTGTTTGTATATTCCATTCATTCGCTCAGTAGCTATGGCAACCATCTGGTTGCGGAGTTGAGCATCACCAATGAGCGTCACGTCGGCAATACAGCGTATATATCCTTTTGGGTAATTGATTACGTTATTGACAGTACGGTTAGGTATGAACACCCGCGCGCCGAGAGCGTTTTCGAGCTCAACAAATCGCATAGTGATGCCTTTCACCTTGCCGATCTGCCCGCTTATTTCCACCAGATCGTCAACGTCGAATAAGTCGGAGAAGATGAACGTCAGACCCGTGACAACATCCTGCACGACACCCTGGGAGCCGAATCC